ATAGTTTGCTTAATTCTTCCTGGTGAAACGACTGAAATGTCCGCAGTTTTTGTTCTCACTACCAAAACAACTCTACCTCATCCCCAGGTCTTCTAGGTTAACAGTTCAACAATCTGGAACTTTGCTGTACTTTTGACGTCATCGTTTCAATATGGTATACAATAGCTGGTTATGATGAATTACGCGTGGGATTTTCGCCAATCAGAAACGGAGAATTATTTTTTGGCTACTTAAGGCAAAGCCTAATCGAAAAATGGAGCCCCTTGTCTGTGCAGCAAAAAGACAATAGAGTGTTTTCACATGACGTCACGGCGGCCATATTGGTGTCCCAAGACAATGAAACGGCGGCCATGTTGGTGTCTCAAAAGGGTCCTGTGGGAGTTGAACTCTTTTCTTATGCAAACGCTTTCTTTTGTTCCAAAAAATTTGCACAGATGCTGGCCACGTGAGTGAAGACGGATCAAAATATGTTTCCCTTCCCCCCTACGATGGGGCACCTTTTTTAATTATTGGGGGGGGGGGGTGGGGGGGGTTATTTCAAACAGTTTTATAAGTTTTGTAAGTTCCTAGGCCTTTCCCGATTGCGCTGAGCACCTTTTGAGCACTTTTTTGAGTTTGGAGCACTATTTTGCATTTTGAGCACCCTTAAGCACTTTTTCGCACTTTGGGCAACACTTGAGCAATATTTCACATTTCGAGCAAATTTCGAGCAACATATGTCTTCCAAAACATTTTAAAGCAAAAACTGTGTGTCGCTCGCAACGAGAATCGTGTTCCAGGTCATAAACTTGAAGAACTAATGATGTTGTCAAGAATAAAAGACCGTTGTCATGGAAAGGCACGTGGACTTATCCTCACTGAGCGTGAGTACAGAAGTTTCTCATTGGCTGATGTATCATGCGTGTGTCATCTCAAATTTCTAAATCATCTGATGCTAGCACTGCTGAATTTACTTACAATTTGTAGCCGGCTTTAGTTTTTTAAAAATATTATTGTTCTATATTCTATCAACCTTTCCTAACAACCTGTCGAATAACACTACGCAAAATAGATTGTTAATTACTTCAGTAAAAATTGACATATTTAGGAAAAGCTTTTAGGTAACTGTTCACAACTTTTAGCACTTTTTGAGCACTATTTTGAGATTTTGAGCACTTTTTAGCCCTTTTTGCCAGCACTTTTTTAGGATTTTACGAGCGCAATCGGGAAAGGCCTATAAGTTCCTCCTCTCCTAACATGTGACAGCAGATTACCCTCTGATGGTATTGCTATTCTTTCCCTGCGTTTGCCGATTGACCTGCACCCATCCAAATCTCTTATTTCATTGGTCCCTACAGCCTGCACTACCTACTGTTTTCAGGGATAGGGGCATTGTTTTGTCACTATCCCTATTGTTTTCCCAGCCAATCAAAAACCTTGTTTGGAATAGGCGCAGGTCGGCCCTGCGTTTGGGAAGTCATTCTTTACAGGAAGGGAATATGATATTTGTAGATCGCTCTATCAAATAGAAAAATTTTCAGTCACTTTAAATGCAACATCCGACGGAAACAAGAAATAATAAACAACTGAATAAACAAAAGTAAAATTCAAGTAAGAAAAAGGACTCCTAATCTAACTCGTAACCTCCTTACCATAATTCGTGACAGTAACTTGAGCTCGACAGTGCGTCCCCGCACTGTTGGGACTGTTGGAAATTGTGTTACTTTGTTGCAGAGTTTTTGAGATCGTAAAAGTGGAATCAAGTACCATGCTAACAGAGTTATCTTTCCGTCATGGTTTTCAGCTTGTACGAGTGGTTCGCGTGGCAGACATTCACGTCGCTTGGCTTGTTTACGTTCGCACGTATTGCGTGCCTATAGCAGCTTCGAGTCAAAACAAGCGATCTCGATTACTCTATTTGGGCAACGTTCCAAGAATAATATACTGTGTAAATTGAATTTCACAGTTTCAAAGCTTCAAACACCACATTCACAAGAATGTCCTTGTCATGTAAACCATTCATTGCTATCATTTAATGAAAATCATGGACAAAAATACTTGTCGAGGACATGCCTACATATACCTATAAACATTTTAATCCTCTGCGTGCCATTTATGGGGTGGTTAGCTCAAAAGCTGTGCTTCTCTGTACCATGCACTCATCAGTTAACCCAAGTCCATTTATATCTGTCTTTTCTTTTTCATAATATTTTATTTCAGCTGTTTTTTGAAAATCTAGGTAACGAGTCTGACGTGTGAAAAGAAGTGAACTTTAGCTGAAGGACACAAAGTCTGTGTTACAAGTCAAAATTAACTTCAGGTTGAAATATTTTTTAACCTGGGTTGATTCTCTGTTTTCTGTGCCTCCCAGCCTTTATTCATGAATAATAATTAGGGCTAGGGCGCAAAGGAAATTGACAATCAACCTAGGTTAAAAATGGTATGCAATATTTGATATGTATCAAGCTGATTCATTAAAGGTTGCTTTGGGCAATGGTAATGACGCGCTGGGAATCCATTCTGTAATGATCACTCTAGCAAATCATTTCATTGTTGTGTATGCCCAAATTACCAAAAGAGAAGAGAAAAAGTGAAGTTAATCAACCTACGATGAAACCGTGATATCTTCATGACGAAGTTAGTCATTTGAGCCTGTTGTTTTGCAGGGAACTTTACGAAAATTTGCTAAAATGTAAACGGCCAACGTGCAGAGAAATTCAAGGTTCTGACGGTTTTGCTTCATCATATTGTTTTTCTCTCCACCTTTGCCGTCGTGGTATGGTAAACTGCTTGGTATCACACTGAAGTTAGTGCAAACAGGAAAACAGAATACATTCAATGGTAGTAAATAAAAAATAAGATTTTTAATCATAACAATAGATTCCTAGTTCTTGACAACAAGACGCAAAGCTACAGGACTTGCGTTACATCAGATTGGATTAATGGCATTGTGTTTTTATATGTCTAGGCTTGTGCACTCCTGAAAGTTACAGAAAAAAGGAGAACTATCGACTACACCTGAATTTACATTTACAACGGGAGCATTTACAGTACTCGCACCGATTTGGACATTCCTTGCACGCATCCGTACAATCTGGACAGCCTCCACCTTGCGATCCGTAGGTAGGGTGAGGGGCTCCTGGAAAAAGAAAAAAATGTTACCTGACCTGAAAAGACAACGTTAAGACAAAGGTGGTCGACACTCCTTTTTTTACATCGGTAGCTCGAAATAGTTATCATCTGACTAACAAACCTGAGGCTGACGTTACGCTCATTTAACCCTTCCCCAGCCCAATTTCTCCGTAGCGGTTAGAAAATAGACAAAAACATGTTTATTCTCTGAAAAAACGTGACTAGCAATGACTTTCAACAATGACATAATGGTGTTAAGAAAAACGGCTACATTCCTTTCCTTCCATCAGGAGCACGAAAAAAACTAAATTAATACTATCTTAAGTGAAATCTAGAGCCACTGTATTTATTTATTTATTCATTTAGCCTCGCCTAACTAGAATACAATCTTTATATATGAGTACATAGAAATTATTAGGCGGGGAGACCACTACAGCCTAACCAAGTACAGTGGATTCCTCGTTAATTAAAAAATAATAATAATAATAATAATTAAAGCTACTTATATATAAACAAAAATCAAAAGGAAACAAAATAGAAGTTCAAATTGCTAGAAGCAGCACGTCGACGGGCACAGGAGAGTCCTCGCTATGTTGCACCTGGGAAAGATTGTTCTCCAGGTTCTGATGTCGTCAACGTCGTACAGGTCCAGCGCCTTATTGCGTTCGAGGTACGAGAACGCAACTCCTAATTTGTGTTGGGTGTTGTGTGCATTATTGGGTGTCCTGTGCAATTAATAAGGGAGGTTTTTTCGAGATTGCATTTGTGTCGACACACATTTGCCTAGCTATGAAGCGATTGCTTACGCTTTGCCTCACTGTCTTTGGAAAATGTGTGCGACTCCTGGTGGGTGCATATTAATGAAACCAGGTTGTTTAGCTCGGCGGCCGTTGTGCTACAAAGTAAATCTACCGAGTTGTGTAGCTGGGCGGTCGTTGTGCCACTCAAAGTAAATCTAACCGAGTTTAGTGTTCAGTAGCTCGGCGGCCGTTGTGCCACAAAGTAAATCTACCGAGTGGTATAGTATCTCGGCGGCCGTTGTGTCACACAAAGTAAATCTAACCGAGTTGTGTAGTAGCTCAGCGGCCGTTGTGCTACAAAGTAGGGACCTTACGAAACTACGACGGCGACGGCAAGGAGAACGTCAAAAAAACAACAGGTTTAATGAGCAAAACAACAACTCTGCACGTGCATCACGCATTTCTGTACATTTCTTTGCTGTCCCTGCAGAACAACGACGTGAAATGACCACATTTTAAGTTTACTTGAGTACGGGAAAGGCAAGGCGATAAATTCTACCATCTCTGTCTGAACTCGAGCGCGGCCCCCTCTCTTCAGCTGCAACCAAAATTCCCTTCTTTTAAGTAACAGGGCGTATTGGGATAATCGCGAAAACGTCTAAAAGGATGCTAAGTCTATTTTTCAGCGACCTTTTCATGGACGTCGCCGTTGTCGGATCGTAAGGTCCCAAGTGTCTCTACCGAGATGTGACGCTCGGCGGCGCCTTTTCATCTTGACTTGTGATCAGGCTGACTTGTGATATTTTCGGCACCGGACAAACATTCTAGCTTCTGGGAATGCTGGGAACGGTCGAGGTGTAAGGACGTGTACTTCGGTGCTCCACCTTTTGGCGTGTTCCAGTTCTTTGCAATTCGATGTCTCCAAAAAGGAAAGATCGACCCAAATCTTCTTCTTCGGACGCCTTTTCGCCCGAGGAAAAAAAAAAGTAAAGAAGCCAATCGTTCTACGAGCACAAGCGAAGGAGAGGACGAGGTACTAACAGCGCTGTCAATGGCTGACGATCTTGGGAAAAAAGTGGATATTATATTAAACAAATTGCAAAAGCTAGACAACATTGTCAGGAACATTACAGTAGAAGGGAGAATCTTATGTTTCTTGGAATCCAGGAAAATGATGCGCCGATCGACGCCGAAAGCGAGACGGAAAATAATAACGTGGAGAATACAAAAGAGGTGATTTATAATTTTCTGCAGAAAGAGCTTAGCTTGGAGAATGCCGTAAGTAGATTCGAATTTCAGCGGATCCATCGAGTGGGGAAAAGAGCAGGTAAGAAGCCCCGTCCTATTATTGCAAGATTTCTCCGATATTCCGATCGGGAAGAAGTCCTACTACGTGCAAAGACTTCGCTCAAAGGGAAAGATTATGGTGTTTTTGAGGACATGCCGAAGGAACTTTATCAAGAAGAAAGAAGAAAGAAAGGCCCAAATGAAGAAGCTTCAAAACGCAAAACAAAATGGCAACACAGCCTATTTCAGCAGAAAGTATCCGGACAAATTATTCAGTGACGGTAACTACGTTCCTCGAAATTAATTTATTACTGTTTTTCCTTCTTTCTTCCAATATTCAGGTGGGCTAATATGGAAATGTTTGCTGTGGTAATTTTCATTGTATTTTGTAGCGCCTTGTGTCACCTATAGTGCACGCTTTTTACAACAGGTCTACGCCTTTTCTTTTGTCTTTGTTGGCTGCAATTTGTAAAATTGACTTGCTGAAGTTTTATGATTTAAAGCTTAAGGGTAATGGTGGTTACTAAGGGAACTAGAAAGTAGGAGTAATCGCTTTGCATCTTTAAAAATTTGTTTATGGCGGAGCTCCGACGAAATAGTCGTCCAGATCGTACAAATAATTAGGAGCACTACCTAAAGGTCTTAGCTCGCACCAGCTCATAACTTTCCATTCCTAGTGAAAGAGCCCGTGTATGCTAGTAGTGTATTGTTTATGCTCTCTCTGTAGTATTATAATGTCCGTTTGTACAAGTCGCAGCAATAGGTTTTTTCTTTTTTTTTCTTTTATCGTGTGTGCCGTCTGTATAGTTTTCGTTAGTTACATCCTTGCTTGGCTTTATAGATATTTGTTACGGTGGATGGTTTTTCAATGCATAATAATAACAATTGGTTTTCACCATTATAATTCTTAAATATATGTTCATTGAATGTTAGAGGCTTATCAGGGCAAGCTAAACGAAGAGAAATGTTTAATTGGCTAAGGGAGAAAAATTTCCATGTTTTTTTTTTACAAGAGGTGCACTGTACGAAGGAAACCTGTGATTTATGGCAAAATGAATGGGGTTATAAAGCTTTTTTTAGCTGTGAAAATAGTCGAAGGGCGGGTGTGGCCATTCTGTTTAAAAATAATTTCGATTTCGTTTTAAACAAGGATTACGCAGACCCAGATGGTCGTTTTATCATCTTAGACATTAAGACGGCAGACTTATGTTTTACGCTTGTTAATCTTTACGCTCCAAATAAGGATGACCCCCATTTCTTCCAAAATGTTAAAAACCGAATACTTGAATTTGATTGCGATAACATCATCTTGGGTG